TAGGGGTCATTCCCACACAGCATCCAACGTAGGCAGCTCAGAGGAGCAAGGGTTTATTTCAGTTCATGGTTTTCAGAGTTTCCATTCATGGCCCCATGCACTTAGGCAAGATGCCATAGCAGCAAGAACACGTAACAGAGAAGGGTCGTCTTTACATACATTGGTGTGTGTGGTGGCAGGTGGACCCAGAGGCTTTTGTACACAGGGAATCCAAACTCAGGTCCTCAGGCTTGTTCAGCAAGTACTTTACCCACTGAGCCGGCTCACCCACCTCCCTCTTCACCTCCCAGCTGACAGAAACCACTGAGAGTAGATTAGAGGCCTGATATAACCTTCACATCTATGCCCCAGTGACCTGATATAACCTTCAAATCTATGCCCCAGTGACCTGATATAACCTTCACATCTATGCTCCAGTGACCTGATTCCCTTTAGAGTTTCTTCAACCTCCCAAAACAGTGCCACCAGCTGGAGACCAAGAACTGAGCACATGAGACTATGAGAGACATATCAAACCATTCCTCTGCCCAAAAGGAAGCAAGAACAACCCACAGGGCAGGTCACCTGCAAAACAGTGGGGCACTTGGCCCTGAGTGCCTGAGCCTGTTCCCCCACTTACAAAGGGGGCAGTGGGTGATCCCTGGGTGGGTACAGGCTGGGTGAGAAGTGCTTAGTCGGGCTCTGGTCCTGGAAGCCTCGGGGTGCTGCACGTGATTGCTGAACCGCGGAAAGCTGAGGGCTACCTGCCGAGGAGGCCCCTGAAGAGACTGGATAGAAATCAGGCACAGCTTGAGGTGTGGAACCTCTGTCAGCGGACAACAGACGCTCCAGGTTAGCCCCAGCCACAGTAGGGCCAAAAGAGCAAGAGCATCCCTAGATGATCAGGGCAGCCATACCGACAGCACAGAAACCCTCACCTGGACACCCAAGCAGTTGTCAAAACCCAGGCTGCATGCCTGGCCCCTGGCAGCATGCAGAACTCCCCTAAGGTGTCCTTTTCGTGGAAACCCCACCGCTAACTCACCCAGGCCCTATGCTGTTCCTTGGCTAATGGAGTGCACACTGAAGACTAATGCATTGTGTCTGGTCACCTCCAGGCAAGTCCATTCTGTCCCCTCAGGGCCAGTAACATTTGAGTTTTTTAATTCACTTAAAGAAAATATTTCAGCCTCCGGCTCGTGCTCCTCCTGGCGAGTCCCCGGCCCAGGGCGGCTGTTTCACGGTGAGGCCTGTCCTCTCAGTCTTGTTTATTCCTGCAGTTTCTCTGCCTCCTGCCTCCGTGTCCTACACAGGTGATTAGGGAGTCTAATTGGTTTGCTGTAAAAAGATAATTAATTGGTATTTCCTTCACGGAGAGGTCAGGCTGCCCGCTCTGATCCCTAGCACAGCCTCTTTCTAACTCCAGAGCCCCCTCCCTTGAGGTGGTCGAGCAACCTTTTATCTTGCTGATAAAGTCATAATTGCCACTAGCACTGGCAGGCCTCAGGGTTGGTTCCCGGAGACTAAGAGTCCCTTCCCTGGGCTCCTTGGTTGGGAGAGGTAGCAGATGTAGCTCCGGGGCAGGAGAACCTCCAAAAAATGTAGCAGAAATGTCTGTAGAGCACTTGGTAGCTACAGTGCAAAGTATCTGCTGCAAAAACCCTTGCCCCAGAACTGGTGAATGTGAGAACCCCACCCCCAACCCCACCCCACCCCCACAGTCAAGGGTGGTCTCCCTGTGGTAGAGATGGAATAGAGTAATGAGCAGCGTTGGAATACCTCTCCCTGGTGTCTCTTCAAGCACTGGAAGTCCCCACCAGCAGCTGTCCCTGGCTGGAAGTCATACACTCCTATTGACAGCACAGTTCCCTTATCTGATAGCAGCTCTGTGGCTTATCACTCCTCGGCAGTAAGATCTTAAGCCTTTAGGAGGCCCTCGAAGTCTTTAGCCTTATCTCTCTTATGGTTCAGCCTGATAGGACCACGTTTGCAGACAGGGTGGACACAGGTGAAGTGGTTGCCCCCCGGGTGAACCAAGCAAGAGGTCAGACTCTCTACGACCAGCAAGATTCCCGGCAGCAGGAGCAAAACTGGTCAGGACATCCTACAGGTGTTACCTGCAACAGTCCGTGTAGCATGCTGGGAAGGGAACAGCCAGCCCTGGGGACACAAGAGGCAGCTGGCAAGAGAGGCTCTAGGGCTATCTGAAGAATGGGTAGCCTTGGGGTGCAGAGTGGAAGGGCTCAGTCCAAGGATTGAGGAAGGAGTTGCCCTCTGGCACCCAACAGGTCTGAACCAGTCTTATGCTTGGGGTGGGGGAGGAGACCGAGAGCCCAGGTGGGACTGTCACAGCCTGGGCTCAAGCACAGGGCTACAGAGTCGCCCAGGGAGCTGAATAGTGAGAAGAACCAGGAAACAGGGCTGGAGAAAGGCTCTCTGTCAAGGGGAAGGATGGGAGTTAGGTCGGGGGGGAGGGGGGTAGGGAGGAGGTCAGTGGGACCAAGTGCTTATGGCTGCACTATATGGAGATCCCGAGACAGCATATGGCTACTGCAGGAAGCTGTGTATCTGTTCTCCCAGGAGCCAGGAGTTGGGGCTCTGCTCGATGAATGTGACACTCACCTACCTCCAGGAGTGAGGAGGGGGGGTCTGCTCAGAAGAACAGAGACCAACTTATGTGAGGGGCACCCCCAGCAGGGCCTGGTGTAGTGTGGGCCCGGGCAGTAACTAGTGACGACGACGGGGTAGAACAGGTGACAGTTCCCCCGAAGCCTGGGTGCAGAGGGTACTGACGTTGTTCTCATGAAACCTGGATCTTCATCGGCCATGGGCAAGCCATGGACAGAAGTGCGCCTGTTCCTGGGCGGCGGAATTGTCAGCTTCACCTCAGGTTTCTAAGAGCAGTCAGCAAGGCTTCCAGCTGGCAAGAGTGCCAAGTGGCCCCTCTCCTCCAGGGGAACCACATATTTGTGGGTTCCCCTTTCCCCTTTCCTCGGCCATGAGTCTCCCCTCCCCTAAGAGCTCCAACCAGATACACACAGGGTTAGTATAAGGGTGTCAGCTGAGGACCTTGGGTGGCCTATCTGGACACCATCCCTGCAGAGCAACAGCCTGCTGAGTGAGTCTGTTTGATCCCCAGGGATCAAAGAGGCAGAGGCGGGAAGTGAAGGCCTCTCTCACTTGCAACCAAGCCACCTCCTTCTTGGGGTAGGGGGAGATCTGCCACACATCCAGATGGTCTCAAGTGCCAATCTTGTGTAGACTGAGGAGCTGGGCTCCCAAGGCCCCCACCACTCCGCATCACCTCCCTGTGAAGCAGCATGGTTAGCGTCAGTAACGTGAATGCCACGCTGTCGTCACGGCTCTCCTTCACCTTCTGAACCTCTTGTGTCCAGCAACAGTGTGGCAGCAGGGAGGTCATCAGACATGAGTGTGCAGATGAACGGCACTGAGCCGATGCTATGGAGGTGCCAGCCTCCGTGACTTCTGGAGAAATCCTTTAGCAGTGCGGCCTGAACCTCCTAGCCCGAGGGAGGCAGACACTTAAAGCCCTGGTCCAGATATACTTATTTGCCTGTCAAGAGATCCTTGCTGGGTCTATAGCCTACTCCACTCCTAGAATCAGTACATGACCAGTCAGAGTCTGACATACTGTTATAGAGCTGGCCTACAGTCAGTGTTCCCACAGGGCCACCCAGCAGTCACCCTAACTGGGCACGAGCCTCTGAGATATGAAGACAGAGCTGGCATATTAATGCCAAAAGTTGTTCCTTTTGCTGCTGTTTTCTGTGTTATTTTCGAGACCCGGTTTCTCTGTGTAACCCTGGCTATCCTGGAACTCGCTCTGAAGGAGGTGGCAGTGCACAGCCCACATGGTCTTCTTCCAGTGTGCAGAGAGCTGGAAACCATGTTGTCAGCACTGTGGTTCTCAGTCATTGCCCAGGACATCAGCGGTGCAAAGCACAGAGCTGCAGGGAAGGACATTAACTAAGGAATGTCCTTGCATAAGAAAAAGGTTTTTATTAATGCACCATAAGACAAAATTAATACACCTCCGAGAGAAATAATTCTCCCACCTGTAAATTTGAAGGCATTTCAGAATCCCAGCTCCTGCAAACCTGGACTCTAGGGAAAGGACATTAATGTCTCTGGCCCCAGGGCCCTGTCTAATACAGACATGAAACATGCTCCCTCACTCAGCCTAGTCCCACCGAGGAGCCAACCGGAGCATGAGGGTCTTACCTGAAGACCCCCTTTCCTTAAGGAGACATTGTCCTGGAGCGTCTCAGCACCCCTAATGATGCTGGCCCAAACTGCACCCCCTCTTCCAGGACCCCACCCAGGAACTGCCCTCTGTTCTACTCCTATCTTCCTGCCTTTGCTGTGTACGTCTTTCATAAAACACGTCACCTCCTCTGTAGCTCATGATCTGAGGTTCCTGCTCTAGACAGAACCGCCCTCCCACCCCAGCGTCTTAGATCTCTGGCTCTTAGGGGAATATGTCTCTTCCCCAATAAGGAACCCTCAGGAAAAGGGCTGTTGGAAGGACCCTGGAGCTTGGTCCTACAGGAAAGTGGGCTGTGGTGTGCACGTGTGTTTGGGAGAGACGACCTGTCCGCTCTGACCTGGCCACACCACTGTGCTGCCCCACCCACTGTGCTGCCCCGCCCACTGCACTGCCCCGCCCACTGTGCTGTCCCACCCATACTGCCCGCACTACACCCCTCTTCCCAGACTCCCTCCCACACACCGTCCTACCCACTCTACCCGGCCCATGCTTCTGATCCAGACTCCTCCTGTCTGCCCTGCATGTCCACAGTCATCTCCTTGTCTCCACACTTCCCCTTCCACACTCTTCTCTCGGGCTGGCTCAAAGAAATACACAGGACAGAGGTCCGTCCCCAGACAGGCTCCTCTTTGTGCCCCCTGCCTACTCACCCAATGACAGCGAAACTCTCCCTCCACTCAGGGTTCACAGGGCCTCTCTCTGTTTTATCTTTCTGGGCAAACCCTCTGCTTAGTCAAGAGACATGAACCCCGCTGTCCTGCTGGCTGTCGGCGAGTGGACCAAGGCTGTGCTGAGTTTGTGGACATCCTCCTCGGAGCCCCTCCGCCTGGGATGCAGCCCTTTCTGTTCCTGCCCAGCACGCTTGAGGTAGGCCCTGAGGTCATAGAGGAATTCTGCTTTACCACAACCATGCTCCTCTGAACCATTCCTCTCCTTCTGCCTGACCCATAGAAGGCTGGCGACAGGCCTAAAGGTGGCCAGAGTCCCCCAGAGGTGCTGCCCACTGCCCAGGAACCTCTAAAAGTCACCAACAGGTAAGATGTACACTAGCTGGGATATGCCACAGCCAAGCCCTGGCCTTTGTCACACGTGCCTTAACTGCCTCTAGGCCTGCGTCTCCGGGGACACCATGGTGAGGGGGGCTGAGAGGTGATGGCCAGGAGAGTTATAGGGCGTCTAGGAAGACAAGCCACATGCCTAGAGCCTGTCGCCAGGGAATGAGCCTCTGAATGCAGCAGCATCCATGTCTCGATGGCTGCTGGTCACTCTCTGAGTAGCTCACCCAGTAAAGGCCCAAGGAGAACAAGAGGGCATGCTCCCGCCTTCTTGCTGCAACAACACCCCAACACCAGGTGGAGCCCCAGGAGGCCTGGTAACAGGGTCAGGGGATAGGCTGCAGTCCCCTCAGAGGTAGATAGCAGTCAACAATGGATACATAGGGAGATGTTCCATGTCAGGTAGGGATCACTGGAGCTGGTGGGGCACTCATAGAATGAACATGTTTTCCCAACTTTCCATGCCAGAGTATGCTGTGGGCACACTCAGTCAGGTGCTGTAACTAGCCCTGTCTCACAGGAGAGGAAACTGAGGTATGAGGACTCCTAAATCAAGTCTGGATTTGTGTTTGACAAATCAGAGGGCCGCTTGTCGCAGTGAGAGGTAAAGAGACAGCATGTCTGCTGACTCAGGAGGATGTGGCAGCCAGCTCCACCCCCACTCCTCTAGCACTCATGAGCCATGGCATGGTAGGTACCTTGTAGAAGAGCCAGCACCCACATGCCAGGTGCTCGGCTAGTGGAACATGTGGGGTGTAGGCCTTATTGGACCTAGTGGAGCAGGAAGTCCTGGCAATTCTTGAGAGACTGGCCAGCAGGCCAAGCAAGGGCCAGGGAAGCCTGCGGACTGGAGAACATTGCTCCTGAGATAGCCAGGAGAGAGCTTAAGAGACAGATGAAGGGTGCCTACAGTTACCAGCCAGATCTCTGGGGAGATTGTGGCAGCCTTCTGCCCCCATGCAGAGGGCAGGAGCCCAGGAGTGTACTGCCTCAGTGTGGGGCTCACATGAAATGCCCAGCGCAGGGCCAGAGCAGACTGACCCAACAGCAAGGCTACAAGAGAAGAGATGTATGTGATGGGCTGGAAGGAGGCCCTGTGGCCTGCCAGAGCTGAGCTGCCTGCTGGCGCTCCTGCAGCAGGATTGCTCATCGGTGACGCAGTGGGTGTAGGACGAGCCAGGAACATTGGAGGCTGGTAAAGTGCTGGCGAACTGACAAGCCTTTGATGCCCCTTAAAAGGCGGCACCGGGACAGAGCCTCATACAACAGGAGATGTGTCCCGTGCTGCTCTGAGTCAGGGTCTGTGAATCGACCACGGAGCGTGTTTGTACAACAGCCAAAGCTGATTTTAAAAATATAACCAAGATCTGGCTAGCATAGAGCTACCATCGGCCCAGCGTTTCCTCCCAGAGAGGATATGAGAGCTGACAGTGAGCACCAGGGTCGTTTACGCTGGCTACCTCAAGGCCCAGGATGCTGTCTGACCCTGTGGAGACTGCCAAGGCTGTCGTGAACACGTTTCTTCCTTCAGCCAAAGGCTTTTGCTGCCTCCTCCAGAAAAGATGGAAGATAGCCAGTCCATTTTCCCACCCACCGCCCACTGAGGAACTCTGAAGGTGTCTGCAATTAAATGACCACAGAATAAGATTCCTGGATCCCGAGAAGCGGCTGAGTCAGTGTGCAAACTCAAAGTGGCCCACGCGTTCAGTGTGTGCTTGTGACCCTGCTTTGCCTGCTTTCTGCATTTCCTCCGGCATCAGAGTGTTCCTGGCTACAGGCAGCCATCAGACTCCACCTTCCACTACTGAGATTAAGGTCATTCTCCTGGGAGCCTTGCCTCTGAGCAGCTGGTCTCCTGTTTCCAGAACACAGAAACACCAGGGAGAACTTTAAAAATTTTTTATTCGTTCATTTTTGAGATAGGATCTAATGTAGCCCAGGCTGGCTGACAGTTGCTGAGGGTGACCTTGAACTTCTAATCCTCCTGCCTCCCACTGCTAAGTGCTAGGACTACAGGCCTATCCTACCACACCTGGTTTATATAGTGTTGGTCATGAAACCTCCTGTTTATGCATTAGGTAGGCAAGCAGTCTACCAACCGAGCTACATCCCAGAGAGGCCGTGTGGTTAGGGCAACTGTCGCCTAGGCACAATCCCCAGCCTCCCCAGTACCATGTTCTCGGGCCTGAGATCTCTTGTCTCTTCTGACTTGGCTACCTTTACCATGCAAATGCTGTCCTCCAGGAATGCTCACCTCAAGGCATTGCCCAGGGCTTCTCAGTTCTGCTTCCCAAAGACCTCCAAATCTCCCACGGGAGTTGAACTCTTTCCCCAGAAAAGAATGTGGGGAGCCTTGGGCAGAGTCTGTCTCCACTTCTCCCCCAGCACCTGTGGCAATCAAAGGGTTCTGTCACCCTCCTACTGCTGGGGTATCAGATCCTTAAGTCTCTTGACCAACAGAGCTGACCTTCCAGGATTCTACGACACTCGTCTTTTCCAGAAGCATTGCCCAGCCCTGCAAAGCAGGAGTGCTTCAGTATCTTGGTTTGCACTTAAGAGCCCAGTAGCATCATGGGAGTGTACTTCTGGCCTGAATGCCTCACCTAAGCAGGGCATCCTTGAGAGGCTCAAGGATAGGTAAGGGGAAGAGTGAAGGCCACTAGCTGCCAGTCTGGGTGAGGAGCCTGGCTGTTGAACGTTTACGGACCATTCAAGAAGGTAGGACTCTTAGGATCTGAGCTTGGAGTCATAAAGACTCAGACCTTGCCAACAAAGACCAGGTCTGGGGTGTTTCCCTGCCCCCAGGCTCAGAGAGCTCTAATTCAAGTGATCCTCAGCCCCCAAGTCTTCTGTCACGTTGGCACCATATCACTCCTGACCTCAGAGTATGGATCATACAATAGACTTCTCAGACCTTTCATGGGGCCCCAACCCTACCTGGTTCTGCCTGTTGGCCCATTACTACCCAGCTACCGGGAATACCTTGAAGATCTGTGACCTAGCATTTGCCACACTTTGTGCCAGAATGTTCTTACCACTCCCAACCACACAGAGACACAGCCACTGAGTCATAGCTATCCTGAACAAACAAACCAACCCTTGGTCTGGCTCTTCTGGGGGGACTCCAAGAGGGTCTAGCTGTGATCATTTGGGTCCCTAGCTTTCTAGTTAGTCTCCAGAGAGATAGGACCTCAGAGCTACATCCCCTGTCCCTGCCTAACCCAGCTGGGCTGGCTGCCACACCTGGGTCATAGTTCATAACCTTCCCTCCCTCCTGGCAAAGACTGGGGTCAGAGGCCAAGATGCGAAGGAGGGAACAGTTTCAGTCACTCAGGTAAACACATTAAGATCACTACAGCTTTCAGACATTACCACCAGTGCACACTACCTCAGCCTGCCAGGCATGCGGAGAGAGAAGCCCCTCACACTTCCTGGAAAATGATGACTGAACTGGAAGCCACTATGGCTCCCTGGAAATCCTTCCACTCCACCCCACCCCACCCCCACCCTCAGCATAGAAACATGGATTCCAGTGGCTCAACTGAGGATATGAGCCAGCCGGTCAGGGCTTGTCGAACCTTGTGTATCAGTTAGTTCTAGACAGAAGTTGGAGGGGGTTGACTGATCGTAGCCTCTGGGTGTTTAGCAGAAGCTGAGAAGTTCAGGTAGCTGCCGTCCCACCAATTGTGACCCAAGAGTGATCGTGTTGGTGGCATTGGGGGTTGGCCCAGGACACACATGCCCCTTAAACTGCAGTCTCCGAGTTAGGGTTTCTGTTGCTGTGATGAAACATCATGACCCCGGGAAGGAAAGGGTTTATTCAGCTTACACTTCCACACCATATCACTGTTCATCATTGAAGAAAGTCAGGACAGGAACCCAAACAGGGCAGGAACCTGGAGGCAGGAGCTGATGCAGGGCGCTGCTTACTGGCTTGCTCCTCGTGGCTCACTCACCTTGCTTTGTTAGTTTTGTTTTGTAAGACAGAGTTTCTCTGTGTACCCCTGACTGATCTGAAACTCTATAGACCAGGCTGGCTTCGAACTCATGTAACTCTACCTGCCTCAGCCTCCCGAGTACTTGGGACTAAAGGTGTATGCCAGCATGCCCGGTCTCAGCCGGCTTTCTTATAGAACCCGGGACCATCAGCTCAGGGATGGTACCACTTACAGTGAGCTGGGCCCTCCCCAGCCAATCACCAATTAAGAAAATGCCCTATAGCTGGGTCTCATGGAAGCATTTCCGCAATTGAGGTTCAATCCTTTCAGATGACTCTAGCTTGTGTCAAGTTGACTTAAAACCAGCCAGCTTGTACCCTATCCCTTTGGCCTGCACAAAATACTCTGGGTTTCTGGGTGCTGGGGAGAGACCGACCCTGACCACCAGCCGGTGACTCTTGAAACCTCAGACAGTCTCATTGATTGGATCTGCCTGAGTCAGACTCAGCAGTCACTGCTGTCATCTGGAGGCTTCAGACAAAAGGAAGGAGTGAGGAAGGAGCTCTCCCTCTTTGCAGAGATTGAGAGTGACACGCCACCCTGTAATTTCAGCACAGGGCAGGGGAGCCAGGGGTCTGATTTCCATAAGATACAGAGCTCTGAGAGCCCGCTTGCCTCTTACAACTCTTACAGGCATCCTCCTGGAACATCTCATCTGAATACAGAAATGTCCCTTTGTGGTTCCTAAAAACAGGCACTTAGGGAACAGGGAGGCATAAGATCTCAACAATACCAATCTTAACATGAGCAGGGTCCAGTGGGCACAGATTGGTACCTGCCTCACTCCTCTGGCCTCCAGCAGTCATAGCACCTGTGGGAAGCTCACCAGGCCCAGTCACCTGTGTACATAGCAGTGAAGGAGACCAGCAAAACAGAGCCTGGGCCTGGAAGGGCTGGATGACAGGGAGAGGGTCCTAGGGAGAGTTCCTGGGTTCTGGGAAAAGTGGGTTTTTCATGTTCTGAAAGTCTGGTCTCTGCCTT